TAAAAAAAGTAAGATTTTTATGAATGAATGAATGAATGAATGAATGAATGACAGTGAAAAAATGACTTGGAAAAAATAAACCTCTTATTTTTCTCTTAAAACACACTAAATAACAAATATTGCCTGCTTTACTTTACAAACGGCGCCCCATAGCAAAAAGGGTGTCTATGAATTTTGAAACAAAAGCCTATATTACACAGTGGGTCCTTTTCCAGTACTTCAGACTTACTTTAATAAAGCTTTGAAGGTAGTTTAAGTAATTTGTAGTTGGGATATGACAGTAACATGTGGGGTCAGTTAATCTAAAAGCTTCTATGAGAGAAAATCTTTTTTGGAGTAGGACTCTAAATTCAATGGAGGCCAGTCTTACCCACGCCAGGAGATCATCTCCAATCTGACCAATCACAGAGGTCTCACTCCTCTTCCTGATGGCTGTCATTTGCTCTGTTATGGAAACTGTAAAACACAGTGAGACCAGTAAGTTAGAATCTCTCAGAATCCCACCAGTGATTCCTGTTCTGACTCTTGAAGGAGGCGGATCGCATTTTCCTGCGCATTTTCAGGCTTGGCGATAGAAAAGAAGGAGAAGACGATGAGAAAAAGAGAGCAGAGAAAGTGTGGACTGTCTATATACCAAACTGAACAATTGTTGTTCTCTACTTCAAAAAACACTTTAGATTTTAAAATGGAAATATTTATATTTGTTTATATTTTTTATTTAGAAAGTCAATGTATAACACGGATGCATAAAAACCTGCATTTTATTTCAGTGTAAAATTCTGTTTAAAGTAACAGAGTATAATTAAAAATGTCTCCGGACCTTTACTGCTTGATGATTTTCTTTATTTCACTGATTTTTAATTGGTTACCTTTGGTTTAGTGTATTTGCTGTGTTATTACCATGCAGTTGAATGATTTCCTCCAAGTTAATGAAGATGTGCTTTATGTCATCAGGCGGAAGGATGCCATCTCTGTTCAGTCTCTGGCAGAAGACACAGTCCAGAACCCGCAGCGTGCGCAGGTGAGCACGCTCAGTGTAGAACAGCTCTGAGAGAGGAAACCAACAAACACAAAGGCTGCTGTTAAAAATGTATGTTAAAAAACAACAAAACAAAAAAAATAAATCACCAACAATGGTCGCTATTGATGTTAAAGGGGTGATAGAATGATTCTATAGAGTATCTGGTCCTTCAGGTCTCTAATAGGGTGTGTAACATTGGTTGGGCTGAAAATG